CGCTCCCCATGACGTCCCCCCCTCCCCATTGCGATGTGGTCTCCTTGTGGGTGGCCCCTCGTCCCCCATTGGCCGGAGCCACCTGTCCGTCACCCATGGTGGGGCGTGGCCAGGCTGTTTCCGCCCCACCCCTCAGCAGCTGGTGCCGGGACTCCGCGAGGCAAGTGGGAGCCGGGGCAGCCCGAGGGCCAGGTGAGGGGGGGGGCGGAGCCGCCTCCCGGGGTCCCCCCTGCGCCCCCTGCCCGCCCCGACGGCTGCCTGTCCGTCTATCCATCCGCCCACCTGTCCGTCCATCACCCGTCTGTCCGTCCATCCATCCGTTTGTCCGGCCACCTGTCTGGCCACCTGTCTGTCCGTCCATCACCCGTCTGTCCGGCCACCTGTCCGGCCACCTGTCTGTCCGTCCATCACCCATCTGTCCGTCCATCGCCCGTCTGTCCATCCACCTGTCCGTCCGTCCATCCATCCATCTGTCCATCTATCCACCCATCACGTGTCCATCCACCAGTCTGTCCACCTGTCCATCCATCCACCCACCGCCTGTCTTCCATCACCCATCTGTCCGGCCACCTGTCTGTCCGTCCATCGCCCGTCTGTCCGTCCACCTGTCTGTCTGTCCATCCATCCATCTGTCCATCTATCCACCCACCACGTGTCCATCCACCAGTCTGTCCACCCGTCCGTCCGTCTGTCCATCCACCTGTCTGTCCCTCCATCCATCTGTCCGTCCACCCACCACACCATCCGTCCACCCACCGCGCTGTCCTTCCGTCCATCCATCTGTCCATCAGTCCATCTGCGTCCATCCGTCTGTCCATCCATCCAACCACTGTGTGGTCTGTCTGTCCACTTGTCCATACATCCCACTGGTTGCCTGTCCATCCCTCTCTCCCTCCCTCTGTCTGTCTGTCCATCCTCCCCCTGGCCCGCCCCTCCGTGTCTCTCTGCAATTCGCGCTCTCTGCTAAGGAGCTCGGATGGCCCTTGGGAAGGACAGGACATGGGGGTCAGGGCGAGGTCCCAGCTTGGGTTTGAAAGTTTCCTTCACTCACACCTGAGGCTCCCCCCCATCCCTGAATATAGTGCAGTGTGGGGGGGGTGTCGGGTTGGGGGCATGAGGGGGGGAGGCTGGGATCAGGGGTCCCAGGCCAGACTGACCACCTGGTCACAGCTGCAGTGAATGATCAGGACAAACCCCAAAGAGGAAGTTTGAGTCAGTGGGTGGCGGTGGGGGGCTGGGAGCCAGGACTCCTGGGTTCTCTCCCCGGCTCTGGAAGGGGAGTGTGGTCTGGTGGGTCAGATCAGGGGGGTCTGGGAGCCAGGATTCCTGGGTTCTTCCCAGTGAGATAGCTCAGTTGCTCCACTGGGGCAGGTCCGGTGCATCTGTCCATCGCTGGTTGGTTCTGCCCCATGGGTCGCTGGCACACACGGATTTTTTTTATCCAACTTTAGCAGAAAAGGGAGCCGGGCCCCGAGAGCCGTTTCGCCGGCAGCTCCCCAGAGGGCAGCTCCGCGCTAGGAACCCCACGAGCGGCGATTATTTTCTGTTCCCAACCCTCCCCTGGGAGCCTTTCGAGTCAGTTGGATCCAGGGAAAAGCCTGGATAGCCGCGTATGAAACGGCAGGGACCACCCACCGCTAACCCACCCATCCATCCATCCCCATCTACCTACCCATCCATCCATCCATCCATCCCAACCCCCCTCTCTATCTATCTACCTACCTGCTAACCCCATCCATCCATCCATCCCCATCTACCCCTTCTACCTACCCATCCATCCATCCATCCCAACCCCCCTCTCTATCTATCTACCTGCTAACCCCATCTATCCATCCATCCCCATCTACCTACCCACCCATCCATCCCAAACCCCCCTCTCTATTTACCTACCTGCTACCCCATCTATCCATCCATCCATCCATCCCCTTCTACCTACCCACCCATCCATTCCCATCTACCTACCCACCCATCCATCCCCATCTCCCCATCTACCTACCCAACCATCCATCCCAAACCCCCCTCTCTATCTACCTACCTGCTAACCCCATCCATCCATCCATCCATCCATCCCCATCTACCTACCCATCCATCCATCCCAACCCCCCCTCTATCTACCTACCTGCTAACCCCATCTATCCATCCATCCCCATCTACCTACCCACCCATCCATCCCCATCACACAGAATTTATGTCCCCTGCAGATTTCCTTGCTTCCCCGCAGAAAGATGACTTTCTGACAGGGAAGCAAAGGGAAACCACAAGAGCAGTCACATGACCCTCCCCAGCAGTATGTTTCGGGGGCCCAGGGCAGCTGGCAGAGAGGTAAATCGCTATGGGGCAGGGGTGGAACTGGGGAAGACCTGGCACCTACCCTGCGCCGGGCTCAGCTGTTAGTTCCAGCTGGTCTGGGGAGGACAGGACGTCCTCTTCCCCTGCACGGCATCCGAGGCTGGGTCAGACCCACCCCCAGATTTCTCCCCTGTCTGTAGGAAGTGCTGCAAACTCCCCCCCACACACACACACGCTGCCTCCACCCGTCGATCCTCAGCTGCAGGGGGAGGGATCCCTGTACAGGGAGCTGCTCCCCCATCCGCCCAACCCCTGTGCATCCAGACCCCCTCATACCCAGACCCTCCTGCCGAGCCTCACCCCCCGGTACACAGAACCTGCCCCCGATGAGCCCCCCTCCCCTTGCACCTGGACCACCCCGACGAGCCACCTGCATCTGGATCCCCACCCCACTGAGCCCCACTCCCCCAGCATCTGGACCCCCCACTGAGACCCCACACCTGGACCCCCAAGCACCTTCACCGGACCCCCCTGCAACGTCTCATTACTGTTGCACCCAGAACCCCCCAACCAGCCCCTGTGCATCCAGATCTGCCCTGCACCCGTATCCCCCACTGAGCCGCCCGCACCCACACCTGGATCCCCCCACACACACTTGGCTCCTGCCTTGCTGAACTGGCCCGCCCACACCTGATGTGCCTGGCACAGAAGGGCAGGGCCCTGGGGTGTTTCTGGGGCAGGCCTGGTCCTTGCTCTGTGCCAGGGTTGGGTGCAGCCTCACGGCTGAGTCCGTGTCTGGGGGGTGGGGGGAGCTGCACAGGGATCTCCCACCTCTGTGCCATCAGTGGCCTCCGCTCCCCAAGGCCAGGCTGGAGCCTCTGCATTTATTTGACAAATAAAAGTTGCAGAATTTTAAAATATTGTGCGCAGAATTTGTATATTTTTTGGTCCAGAATTTTTAATTCTTTGGCACAGAATTCCCCCAGCAGTACTACACACCTCTAGCTACCCACCCATCCATCTGCATACACCCCATCTATCCCCCATGCCCCATCCATCTGT